TATTTTCTTGTTTCAATTTCATTCAGTTCTGCTCTGATCTTTATTATTTCTATCCTTCCATTAAATTGGAATTTGATTTGTTCTTGCTTTCCTAGTTCCTTGAAGTGCATAAATACATTGCTAATTTGAAGTATTTCTCCTTTTCTGATATAGTCATTTATTGCTACAAACTTCTCTTTTAGTACTGCTTTTGCCATATGCCATAAATTTTGCTATCTTGTATTTCTATTTTCATTTGTTTCAATACATATTTTAATTTCCTTTTTAATTTCTTCATTGACCCACTGCTTGTTCAGGAGCATATTGCTTAATTTCCATGTGTTTCTGTATTTTCCAAGGTTTTTCTTGGAACCATATTAATTTCTAGTTTTATTGCTTTGTCCCAGGTTCAGCTTCTCTGGTGCACTGAATCTCTCATTCCCCAAGGTACAGGGCAGTGTGTGACCTACAGTGCTGGGGACCCAGCTGCACAGGCATGGGAACTCAGGGCTGCAGTAATGGTGAGATGCAGGGGCCATTGGGCCCCAAGGCAGAATGTAGTCTGGTGGAAACTGGGCCTTCAACATGGTGCCATGATAAAGCTGCGTGGGTCTCAGTGGGTATATGCCACCCAGTGTGAACTCCTTCTCTGAACAATGCCATCACATGTACTGCAGGCAGCTCCCTGTTAGTCATGGGGCCTGTGAGGGCCAAGAGGCTCTCCTATGGCTAGAATGACAGTTGTCCGTGGTGGGAATGTGGACCACTGAGCATACCTTTTCCCTGCAATGGGGAGGTCCTCCTGGCTCTGAGCCTCTGCTGACAGGGATGGCTGCTTTCTTCTCTCCTTTCATGCCTTAAAGGTTCCCTGTCACTTCCCTGCTAAATTCCAGTATTCTGTCATGGAAGCTCTATTTTACATGTTGTTATCTACTCTCTGTCTTGGTCCTTCTTTATGCCTTCATTTTTTTTTTTTTTTTTTTTTTTGCATTTTCCAGATGCTGGGAAAGGTGCCTCATTCCTGGATCCTGCATCGGTACTCCTGTTTCTTCACAGATAATTTTAACAAATGCACTGATATATTAATTATGTGAATTCAATCTGAGAAACAATTGATTATTAAAAACCATCTCTTTAGAAAAAAAAGAAATGTAGTTTCCTTCTATTCAGCATAGTTAAATAAATTCCATAGTACTTATTACCCTTTACTGGTTCCAACTTTCCTTAGATTACTACACTAATATCTTCAGTTTTGCAGGGCACAGAATTTGTTAAATGCCCTTTGTGATCAGATATCTTTAGCATATTCATCTAGATGACTGCCAAAAAGAGAAACTAAGTGATATTATTTTTGCTTCTCCAAAGTTAATGTGATCTTCTATTTTACCTTGCAGAAAATTATATTCTGTTATTCATGTGATAATTCAGTTCACCCCTGGTAAATTATGTGACAAGTCAAAATGGCAAGATTGTATTTAAATGTAACTGTTATTTTTTGAGCATTTTTTTTCTCTCTCTGGCGTTAGAATAAGGGTATCATTATCTGAATCACATAGCTTCATTTTTGTAAAGCTTTTATGTATTTTAACTAAAATAGTTATATAGAGTAAAACAAATGTATATACTGATACACATATATATGTATTTGTGTGCATGTTATATCTTTTAGCTGGATGAACACATTTATGTTTACCACTGAGTACAGAGAAAAAAGAGTAAAGAATAAGGAAGATAATAGATGCAGGGGAAATAGACATACCATAGTAATATAAACAGAAATGGGAAAACAGAAGAATATCTGTTAATAGATGTGCTCCTGTGTTTGTGTGTGTATGTATATATGTATATATGTGTATACATATATATACATATATACATATATACATATGTATATATGTATACATATATATTTTATTGGCTCTAAAATTGTAGGAGTAGGATGGGTGTGTGTGTGTGTGTGTGTGTGTGTGTGTAGTATACATGCTTATCAGAAACACTTTTGCCTTAGCACTGTCACAACAACACTTTGAAATAGGGAATTTATTACAGAGAATGGGAAGTTTTTACCTAAGACTTTTTGACCCAGATGGTAAGGGAAAAAAACATAAAAAATCCAAAGACAACTACACTGAGGACCAGATTATCAAGGCTTGTGGCAAAAATACAGAAACCTGGCTCACCAGATATCTATAATTGCCCACTCAAACTGAAACTACCATGTATTAGCCCAGAAAAGAAGAGTGACTACATCTTTCTTCGCTTAACCTTTTGGCCTCAATTTCCTTCTCCTTTTGGTCTCCTTTTGATGTGTGAAGAATGCTCATTTATTTGTTTTCACTGTGGTCTCACAAGAAAGGGTGGATGCACAGAAGTATCTAGACAGCAAAACATAGACCACTGATGAACAAAGGAGTTTGCCTCCCACTAGTAGTGGAGGGAGGGAGCCTGTGGTTTGAGGATGAGAAGTTGAAAACCAGTTAAGGCATTACAGTGATATACAGCTTTAGGTTTCTTAAGGTAATATGAAAATATGAGTCTTTATGCTCAAATTAAGGACCAATAGCAACAACTATATAAATCTATGTTTTTTTTTCTTGTGGTTTACAATTTGTTTAATCTTTATTTTTTAATTTCCTTCCTTGTTAAACTATGCACATATCTTTTAATGTAAATGAGGTCAATTCATTTTGAAAGTAGTTCAGGCAATGTTTATGAATAAGCTAACATAATTTAATATTATTGCTCCCCCCAACCCCTACCAAATCTATTTTTGAACCAAAGATACTCATGGGTAAGTTTTTTTCTTCCATTGATCTATTAGGTTGTTTTTCCCTCTCTGGTTTCTTTAATAACTACATTTAGAAAACTGAAAGTAAGTAATTATTTCTTATTCACCAAATGTGGGTCATATTTGAGCATTGACATATTTTATTTCTAATCCTCACCACAGTTCTGTGAGAGGCAATTACCAGTTCTGTTTAGTTTTATAACAAAAATGTGTATGAGGAAAGTGAGGAAGGAATGGTAGGTATTGGGATCTGTAATATTACATGTGAGGAAACTGAGGATGTAATAAATTCTGGACATGTTCATCCAAATTTCCCAAAGGAAAGATAGTACAGATTTCCTACCTCAATTTGATGCAAGATCGCTCTTCAGAGACATTCTGACCCAGGAATTCCCCTGCTAGGATATATGTGTAAAATTCTGCTAAGAAATGTGCAAGTCTGCTTGTAGCAGCCTCACATACAACTAAAAACATCAAGAATTAACCTAAAATGTCCATCATCTAATAAAATTATGGTTGAATAAATTATGGTTTATCTGTATAGAATATTATGAAAAAAATTAAATAGATGAATTTTTATATGTTGGTGTGGGGAATCTCTAAAGTATACTGTGTTAAGCGGGAAAATGCAGAGAATAGAACAGTACACAGAGCATAAGCTCTTTGATGTGATGATAATACTTCATATAATACAGATAATGTAATAGTATTATTAAGGTTATTTTTTTTTATTTCGGCATATTATGGGGGTACAGATTTTAAGGTTTCAATAAATGCCCATTTCCCCCCCTCCCCCCAAAAGTCTGAGTCTCCATCATGACCATCCCCCAGATGGTGCACATCTCACTCATTATGTATGTATATACCCACCCTATTAAGGTTATTTTGATATATTTTCTTAACATCAATGATTATACACAATATATAACTGGCAATGTATAATAGTTAAATACACACACAGACAGAATATCAAAAATATTAATAAAAAGCCTGTAATAATAATTTTGAAGAGAAAGAAGTTTGGAAAACATAGAAAAGTTTATTTTGATTTTGTAACTTGCTGTGTGATTTTTGAGACAGGCAGACTGGTTGGTTTCCTATTTTGGTGTGGTCCACACAAGGGAGCAGAGGTCTCTTGCTCAAGCTGAGGACCTCTGAATTTCTAGCCAATTAGAATCAAGAGACCAAAAACCTGTTAACCACAAGTTTCTGTTGTAGAGGGCTAGGAACTTTCCTGGAGCCTTTACAGGTGCAGTTAGGCTTAACCTTCAAATTACAGTAACACTTTCTTCATTTTAATAGTAAAAATCACACCCAGAAGTGGAGATTTAAAATGCTAATGTTAATACAATACATGGAGTATGTAAAGCTACTGTGCAGGCACAAGAAAAACCCCTCCTATACATACTTTGACATAACCAATTCCCACACAATTCTTGAGGAGCAGCCCAAACTCTTCTTTTCCTTATGTACCAGGTAAATAAAACGTTTTTCTTCATTGCTATGTCTGGTGATCTCTCTTGATTTCTATCCTGGGAGAGTTACAAGAACACAGGAGCATCAGTAACAATTTCATTTTTTTTTTAGATGGGATCTCCCTCGGTTGCCTGAATAGAATGAAATGGCGGCATCACAACTCAATGCAATCTCAAACTGCCAGCCTCAAGTGATCCTCCTGACTCAGCCTCCCTAGTAGGTAGGACTGCAGGCACCTGCCACTACACTGGCTAATTTATTTTTATTTTTATTTGTGTAGAGACAGGGTCTCGCTTTGTTGCTCAGGCTGCTCTGGAACTCCTGGATACAAGCAATCCTCCTGCCTCTATCTCCCAGAGTGCTAGGTTTATAGGCACAAGCCACCATGACCAGCCAGATTTGATTCTTTTGTTGTTGTTATTATATTGTTATATTATTTTTATAATAAATGATATTAAGTTTTCCAGGGGGTAGGATTATAGGTTATTATTCAATTAATCATATTTCTTCGTATTAAATGTGCACAAAATAAATATTCTTTTAAATTGAAGGCAACAACAATATACATGACCATAGAGCATAAAACTTCTTTAAGAACTCTAACAGTAAATAAATTGATTAAACACACACAGGGAGGTTGGGAGCAAACAGGACAAAAACCAGACACACAAGAGAATCTTACAAATAGAAAACAATAACAAAAATGCCAGGAACCATTTAAACAAATATCTACTACTCAAAATGAATATGGACTTACCGAGTGTCCCTGTTGAAAGACCGACTTTCGAAATTTGGTAACAACCCAAACATTTGGTCGTTTACAAGAGACACATATACACAAACTTAAATAATAAGCAAGTGTCTCGGGGGCCTTAGAAAAGAGGAGTCAAGGCGAAGGGGAGGCAGCACAGGGCTTCTGTGGACTCCAGTGTGCCGATGGGTCGCCAGCCTTAGGCCTCAGAGGTCACCAGCCTTCACAGCCCGCCAAGGCCTGTGTGTGCTAACACCTGCTCCACAGGCTGCGGCGCCAAAGCGCCTGCGTACACTGCGGGGGGCGGGTCCAGGGAGCCGCGTCCCTTCCCGGCAGCCCACGGGCGTGAAGGCGGCGCACAGTCTGCAGGCTCCAGTCAGCTCCAGGGAAGATCTGCACTCAGCAGGCACCCAACATGCAGGATCCCCAGGCCTCCCCCATCAGAGCGGTGGCAGAGGGTCAGGAGAGGACCACTGCAGAACCAGGAGTTTTGGGAGAAATCCTATTTTTTTATTTTTTTCAGAGCCTCACTCTTGTCCAAAGGGCTAGAGTGCAGTGACGTCATCACAGCCCGCTGCAACTTCAAACTCCTGGGCTCAAGGGATCCTCCCTCCTCAGCCTCCTGTACTTGTGTTATTTTTCTTTATGTCCAGCTAATGAGCTTGAGTCAGTTGAGTGCTTTGTACTATTGCAGAGCTTTCTTATACACATGACTTAAGACTTAGCTGCTAATAATATCAGCAGTCCTTTTCTGTATGGCAGAAATTTCTGAAGCCAGAAGTCTTTTAAAAATTATTTCAAAGCCAGAAATATATGTTCTTGGATATGCCCACTGAAATTATTTCAATATTGTTTAATCAACATTCTTCTCCACTCCCTATTCAAGTGTTAACAAAGTGTCTTATATTAATTATTCTTTCTAAATTTTAGAATCTGTTTACTCCATTATTGGGTTGTAATCTTGGATTGAATTGATTGCTTAGGAGAGATCTTCTAAAGGCCTGAAAATACAGCATTCTATATTTCCAAGAAGACTACATTTTCAGGATGACTAATTAGAGAGCCAAAAGACATTAATGTACTTGATGTTCCATTGTCTTATGTATCATTGTTGTTTTCTGGTTTAAAAGCCAAATACTGAATTTGATCTTGGGAAATTTGCTCTAGTCTAAGTATTTTAGATTCAAACTTCTCATGTGTGAAAAAAACAACTAATGTACTGTAAATAAACGAATATAAACTAAGTTGTTGGAATTCATAATGAAAGATGAAATTAAGGACTTAGCCTCTTAGCAGTGAAATGAGTTATTTGGAGTAGTCACTTGGATTATTTTTCAGTAAAAGTTTTACAGAAGTCTAAATTAGAAACAAACTAAACCAAATTAGAAATCATGTGCAAAATATAAATGCAAATTTATTTTTAGAAAGTAAACTGATATCTGATTGATTGAAAACTTAAGCCTGGGGGATTATGATTTTTAATTCTGTATATGTCATGAGCTGAATGGTAATACATATTTTTATTTCAGTGAAAATTTTTTCTAAAAATTTTTAGGGTTCAGTTATATCTTAACAATTAAAAAAGTCTAATTCCTCCCTTTTCCTATGGGGCAATAGAAGCCTGGAGAAGTTACCTCCTCTAAGGAAACAGAGCCAGCACAAAGATTAGAACCCAGGGTTTCAGTTTCTAAACCTTTTCTTTCCAGAAATCTGAAGATCATTATCATCCCTTTTTATATGACTTGTTAATCATATGTTTGGCTGACATATTTAAAAACTACCTTTGGAGATAGTGGAACTGTATTTTATCAGAAAATCCTAGGAGAATAATTCACAAGAAATGGAGTTATAGTTGGAGCTTCCAAAGACTGAAAAATGGGTAGTAGAGGAGAGAGAAAGATCTGATCTGGAAAAGATAATTAAGAAAGGGTCAAGCTGGCAGCACCCCTATAAGAAACTAAGGAGGAACAACTACATAACATCAAGATCATGGTGTGATAGGTTTCAAAATCAGAAATTTATGAAAGAAAATATACACAGTATTTTTAGTTAAAAGGAAAAAGTACGGCAGAAGATAGTGCTGCCTGCCAAACTGCTCGGGTTATAGGCAAACCTCATTTTATTGCAGTTTGTTTTGTTATGCTACACAGATGTTGCATTTTTTATAAATTGAAGGTTTGTGGTAACCCTGATTTGAACAAGTCTATCAGTGCCATTTTGCCAATAGCATATGCTCACTTCATATCTCTGTGTCATATTTTGACAATTCTCCCAATATTACAATTTTTTTATTATTACTATATCTGGTATGGCAATATGTGATCTCTGATATGACTATTATAATTATTTGGGGTGCTATGAACCGCACCCTGTAAAATGACCAATTTAATCCATAAACATTGTACGTGTTCTGACTGCTCCAGCAACCAACCATTCCCCCATCTCTCTCCCTTTCCTCAGACTTTCCTATTCTCTGAAACACTACAGTATTGAAATTAGGCCAATTAGTAACCCTACAATGACCTGTGAGTGTTCAAGTGAAAGGAAGAGTTGCAAATCTCTCATTCTCAATTTATAGCTAGAAATAATTAAGCATAGTGAGGAAGGCATGTTGAAAGCTGAGATAGGCTGAAAATTAGGCCTCTTGCACCAAACAGCCAAGTTGTGAATGCAAAGGAAAAGTTATTGAAGGAAATTAAAAGTGACAGTCCAGTGAACACACAAATAATAAGAGAAATAGACTTATTACTGACATGGAACATGTTTTAGTAGCCTGGGAAGATCAAACCAGCCACGATATTCCCACAACCCAACATCTAAGTCAGAGCAAGGCTCTAACTCTCTTCAATTCTATGAAGTCTGAAAAAGGTGAAGAAGCTGTAGAAGAAAATTTTGAAGCTAGTAAAAGTTGGTTTATGAGGGTTAAACAAAGAAGCCTTCTCCATAACACAAGAGTGCAAGGTGTAGCAGCAAATGCTAGTGTAGAAGCTTCAATAAGTTATCCAGAATATCTAGCCAAGATCATTGATGAAAGTAGCTACAATGAACAACGGATTTTCAGTGGAAATGAAACAGCCTTCTGTTGGAAGAAGGTGCCATCTAGGACTTTCATAGCTATGAAGGAGAAGTCAGTGCTTTATTTCAAAGCTTCAAAAGACAGGCTGACTCTCTTGTTAGAGGCAATTGCAGCTGGTGGCTTTAAGTCAAATCCCATGCTCCTAGGGTTTTCTGAAAACCCTAGGGTTCTTAAGAATTATGCTAAATTGACTCTGCCTGTGCTTTATAAATAAATGGAACAACAAAGCCTGAATGATAGACATCTGCTGCAGCATGATTTACTATTTTAAGCTCACTGTTGAGACCTACCGCTTAGAAAACTTAAAGAGTCCTTTCAAAATATGACTGCTCATTGACAATGCACCTACTTACCCAAGAGCTCTAATGGAGACATACAAGGAGATCAATGCTATTTTCATGTCTACTAACACAACATCTATTCTGCAGCCCATGGATCAAGGAGTAATTTTGACTTTCAAGTGTTATTATACAAGAAATACATTTTGTAAGCTGTTGTAGATAGTGATTCCTCTGACGAATTTGGGAAGAGTAAATTGAAAACCTCATGAAAAGAGTTCACCATTCTAAATGCCATTGAAAACATTCATGATTCATTGGAGGAGGTAAAAATATCAATGTTAACAGGAGTTTTAGAGAAGCTGAAACTGGAATTTTTCTTTTGCTTTGTACAAGCAAGAGCAATCAGTAAAAGAGCTGAGAAGTAAATTCTGCAAGTACAAACAACGATGAGTTAGAAGATGCCTAGGGAATAAGTAATACAAGAAGAGAAATGTGTAAGTGTATTCCACATTGGGAACGAAACAGAGAACCTTAAACACTGATGCAAAAGAGTCCACTAGCAGTACACAGTCCCACTGAAGTCAGTCTCTAAGAGATTTAGCAGACTGCAACCTCCTTGGAAGAAAGAGCTTGGTTTCATTTCTCTTTGTTTCCTCACCATACCCTAATTCCATCCCCAAAGTAAAAATCAATAACAAGAAACTACACAAACACATAAAAATTAAACAACATTCTCTCGAACAATCAGTGGGCCAATGAAGAAATTCAAAAGGGAAATTTAAAAGTTATTGAAACAAGTGAAAATATAAATACAACATAACCAAATCTATGGGATATAGCAAAAACATTACTAAGAGGGAAATTTATAGCAATAAACACATCAACAAAAGTCAAAACTTCAAATTAACAACCTAACAATGTTCCTGAAAAAACTAGAAAAGCAATAAGAAAATAAATTCAAATTTAGTAAGAGCAAAGAAATAGTAACGCTTATTTCTGCTCTTATAGCAGAAATAAATGAAATAGAACTAAAACAATACAAAAGATCAAGGGAAAAAGTTGATTTTTTAAAAGAAAAATTAACACACCCTTAGCTATAGTAACCAAGATAAAAAGAGAAAAGACCCAAATAAATAAAATCAACAGGAAAAGGGAGACATACAACTGAGGCCACAGAAATACAAAGAATCATTAGAGACCATTATGAGCAACTATACGCCTAAAAATGAGAAAATCTAGAAAAAAAATGGGTAAGTTCCTGTACACATACAAGTTATCAAAATTAAATCTTGAAATAGAAAACCTGAACAAATCAATACTAGTAATAAGATTGAGGCCATAATAAAAAGCATCACATAAAGAAATGGTCAAGATTTGATGGCTTCACTTCTGAATTCTACCAAACATTTAAAGAAGAAATAATACTAATTCTACTCAAACTCTTCAAAAAAATCGAACACATTTTTGTTCAGTCAGAGCATACCCTGATACCAAATTAGAGAAGGACACAAGAAAAAAAGAAAACTATAAGTCAATATCCCTGATGAAACACAGATGCTAAAAATCTTAACAAAATGATAAAAAAATAAATTATTTAAATAATAATTAATGATTTAAATAATAATGTATTAAATAATATAATAAAAAGATCAGTCACCATGAACAAGTGGGATTTAGCCAGCAAAATAAGAATGGCTCAAAATATGCAAATCCATAAAATAATATTTCACATTAACAGAACCCAAACAAAAACCATATGATCATTTATTTCAATAGATGCTGAAAAGGCATTCAATAAAATGCAACATTTCTTTATGATAAACACCTTCAAAAAACTGGGTATAGAAGTAACATACCTCAAGACAATAAATGGCATACGTGACACACCCACAGCAAACATCATACTGAACAGGGAAAAA